CTACAGCCAATCATGATTATTCATGGCCTCTTAAATGCACTCCCACATTCAAATTATGTGTATAGACTAGAGCATGTTTGTCTATGATAATTTTTCTTATTGATAAAAGTTAAAAAATAAGTAAATTACATATTTTCGAGAAAAATATGATTTTCATTAATCAATATCATCGCAGACTGTCATCGCACAGTTCAATTAACTCATTCAATCGTCACTGCACAACCCAAATTAAAACAACCACTCACAAATTTTTCATGACGATTTATATTTATTCTTGTTCCGAACTGTTTTCTTGCACAAGACGACTACTTGAGTAATTCGTTAGGATATTGTGTAATAATAATAAACATAGAAATTGTTTGTATTATATGTTTTTGTTACAAAAATAAAATAACAACACTTTAAACTGTCTTTTTTAATAACTAAACTAACAGCTAATGAACCTAACTGAAGTTCTCATCAGTAAATAAATAAATAAAAGTTTTCTTTTAATTGTAGTTTGTGTTACTAACATGTAAAATTTTATAATAGAAAAAATTATCTTTTCTTTGGAGTGACATTTTAGACCTATTAACCGTAATTAGATGAGATGTGGTTTGAAATGTGATAAAAGAGGGTGAAAATGATACTCTAAACTAAGAATAGGGATGTCTAAGCGTGTATTTGATTGCGAGTATGAAATTTGTATGAAAATAAAATAAATTCTAGGTAATTCAATTGCAATTATTAATTAAATGTGTTTAATTGATTTAGTTTTGAACCTAGAAAATATTATACTTGTTCATTTTTTATTAGTGAGTAAATGAAATAGAGAATTACCTAAAATATAATTCAAATATCCCTAAAAAAAAATATTTTCCTTGTTCATATGGCCAGTGACCAAAAGTAGGAAAATATTTTTCATTGAAAAAGATTGTCAGTCATATAGCACAAAAATATAAAATTAAGTGAAAAAAACCCATATTTTATGGAAAATATTGAAAATCAAACACACCCTTATTATAAAACTTATAGCATCTCCAAGAGACTTTTTATTTATAAAGAATATCTATGCATAATAAAGAGTATCTTTAAACTTACAGAGTAAAATTTCTTGTACACCTCAATAATACTTTATATTTTGACTCTTCATTTTGCTTCTTTAAAAGACCAATCAATTTAAATATTATTTGAATAATTTAAGAAATAAAGTATTGAAATATATAGTTTATTATATGCAATCATTATGAAGTAAGGATAGAGAATGAGTTCGATTCTCTAAACTCGAAGAGCAAAACCCGCTCTCTACTTTAAAATGTTATTTAAAAAAAGAGTCTCTTGAACCTTGTTTTTAAGCATTGAACCTCTAAAATAGAAAATATATTGTATTTAGAGAGTTTTTTGAAGATACTCTTAGCAAATATCTCTAATATTATCTCTAAACATTATAATAAAAACTTAAGCCCCCGTTTGATCTACATGATTATCCCATTAAAATGAAAAATAT